AAAGGTATTAAGATACAGGTATTCCTTATCTGAAATGTTTGGGACCAGAACTGTTGTAGCCTTCAGATTTTTTAGAAATTCAGAATTTTGGAAGTTTACATTATACCAGGTGAACATCCTAAATCTGACAGTTTGAAATATTCCAGTGAGCATTTCCCTTGAGCGTCATGTTGGCACTCTGAAAGTTTTGGATTTGGGAGCATTTCAGACTCTAGTTTTTTAGGTGAAGAAGACTTGACCTGTGTTTCTCTCTCTCCACCACCCAGGGCGTAAGCTCTATGAGGGCCGGGAGTTTATTTCATTTCATTCAGGGCCCGTCCCCTTAGCTGGCATGGATCTGATACATGGTATGCATTTAACAAATATTTACTGAATGACTGATTCTCAGCTCACCCAGTGACTACATGACTGACTGGACACATGGTGATCTTGTGTCATGGCAGGAGATGAGGTGCCCGCCTAAGGAGCTGAAGCCAGGCCTTAACTGACACGTGCCTGTCACCAGCTGGTACTGTGAGGCAGAACAGCCTTGCTGGCCTCTGCAGCTCTCACAGCAGATGTGGAGAGGGCGACGCTGAGGAGCAGCCTGTCTCCTTGCACTGCTCACCTCCAGACCACCTGTGGCCCCCAGACTCACGACAGCACTGGTGTTCGCCATTGGCACACTACCTGAAAGGCAGCCAATTCTCCAGCCCCTGTGTCTTAGATTTAGGCATGCAAAATATGTGAATCCTCCTATGCAAATTAAGGTTTTATGTCATCTACTTCACAGTTCTAGCCATGGGTTCCAAAAATAGTCATTCTGTGTGATTTGTGAAAGAGAATAGGGCCACAACCTCAGAACTGAATTTTTCTCTAGCAGATAGCAGTTATTCAGACAAAAATATTGACCTGCGAGAGCTGCATTCATGTGGACCCCGTGTGTCCCAAGATTTGTTGGAAGTGAGCATTTGGTAGGTTTTCTGCTGCTGCAGCTTCTCCCAGTAGTAGGAGCTCCTAGGGATAGGGATGCTGTGTGGAGGTGAGGGCTGTGGGCAAGCCCACGGTGGTTCACGTTCTGCCAGCACAGCTGAACCTGGAGAACGAGTGACAGAAATCCCTGATGGTGAGGCAGTGAAATCTGTGGACATACGCGGTTATCTTCATTTGACTCTTGTTCTTTCCAGAACTACAGAACATATGCATGAGAAGGCTTTATAGGCTAGGGTACCAGTAAACAGCACAGGAAAAATTAGCAACAACACAAATGTGATTTTTAAAAAGTAAGATGACCTGTTAAGGGACTTTCTGTGGACTTCCAGAGATCCTGAAAAGTCGTGGCCTGTGACTAAATGGTAGTCACCATCAGGCAAGAGGGGCAGCTCTCATTATCTGTCGCTTCCTCCCCATTTTTCTAATACAGCCTCAAAAATGATGACAAAGGTTCCTCATCTGTACCCCACGACTCTATAATAAAATAAAATTTTTGAAAAGTTATTATGGCAAAGTTGCCGGCATTTGTTTTGCTACTTTGTCATCTTACATGGACTATATACTCTAAAAATTAAATTAAATCAATATATTCCACTCCATAACAAACTATCACTGACTTGTACAAGTAAATGAGGGCTGCACCCCAAATTAATTGAAATTCCTGTTGGTATTCTTGTCGTGCTCTTAGAAGACAGGGGATTTCCTGGTAATGTTGTTCCAGATAGTAATTATTCCTTTGAGACCCTGTAGGCTAAGTAATTTCAGCCCTATTCTCCCGGGTTCTAGTTTTCAGTTCTTTAATCGTTCAAGTCCTCTCTCTCTTACTTGGCTGAGGATCCTAAGTTGTCACATTAATGTGCTGCCTGGTTTGGAGTCACAGCATCTTCCCTTACCTTCTAGACAGGACCCCTGAATGCCGTTCCATGTTCCTCTAACAGTGCTGTCTGGCTGATTACCTGTGCGTTCTTTTCTGCTATAACAAATTATCCACTTCTGTGTATGCAGCCTGTTTCTCCTCTTGTCTATTGCCTTTTCTATGGTTGTATTGTTTGGTTTGTTTCTGAATAAAATAGTCTTGTCCTAGTGGACTAAGGGAAGAATTTGGGTTCGTTACTTTATATGTGATTGACCAAGAGTTAAATTTTTCAGTGGGGCATACATATTTTTTGGGCTGTTGTATCAATATACCGATGCTTAAGCGAGGCAGCGCCTTGTAGTAAGATAAGTGACACCTGTGGGGTTGGGGATGAGAATCACAGCTCTTGTACCAGTGATTACGGTAACTAAATTCTTAACCTAGAGCCTCTCTTTGCCTCAGTTTCCTCATGCATTAAATGAGAAAATGATCCCTGTGTAGTGGAGTTGAGAGGACTGAGTGAGATTATGTATGTGAGCACTTAATGTGTGATTGGAATCTAGTAAGTTTTTCAAACATGGTTGTTTTGTTATGAAAGGTGGTAATTATACATATGAATATAAGAGAAATGATTTTCATCCTGTTTGAAAGTCTCTGTGAGTGGTTTAAGCTTTTGGTACAAAGATATTAGTGCTACATACTTACCATGATAACTTTGTATAAACTATGCGACCAGCTGTTATACAGAGATAGTCAACCTGAAAAGCAGAACGAGGAGGGAGGGGCAGGAGGATAAATCTGCACTGTAACCACGAGCATGTCAGAGAAATGAACTAACGAGGAATGGAAAATTCGAGGAAACAAGCGCCTGGGGTCTCTGCAGCTGGCTCCAGCCAATCAGGTTGTGCTGATTGAGAACTGTTTTCCATGACTTGAGCTCCAAGTTATGAATATTATTTTAGGGACTCAGGGATAAAGGAATGGCAGTATATCTTTAAGATTAAGCATGACTTGGGCACTAATAGAGCCTCTGTCCTAACCTTATGGGGGTTGATGATACCAGAAAAATGTGTGTGTATGTTTTTTATGTGCTGACCTGCCTGTCTTCAGAGCTAGTTTGCCTTTTTCTAAGTTCATCGACTCCTTCTATGGAGCCTACCCTTTGTGTGGATCACATAAGGAGACCCATCCAGGAAGCTAGAAGCCCCCAGACTTGAGTTCCAGACTCCTTGGCCCACAAGCATGGCTCCCTCTGGTTTTACCGCACTGGAGTCCTACCCTACCCCACCTGACCTCACCTGTAGAGATGGAGGAGGAGTGCCTTCAGCTTTGCACTTTGCTTTGAAGTGGAAACCAGAATTAGCTGACCCTGGAGGCTATTTCAAGAAAGTATTTTCATGTGTTCCTTTATCTTGATGTTTGTCACTAGAGTGTTGTGAAAATTTCATTCCTATCTGTCATTTACATAAAGGATCTGGGTACCCACTTCTGATCTTTGAAACCCCTCAAGACCTCATTAAATTTGCATTCCACCTGTCTGGGTCAGAGTGAACAAACCTCACTGCATCTCCATCATGACCCCTCACCTCTTTCTTTCTTGGGTCGATGGCACTCCTGAGCTTTGGGATTTTTTTTTAGAGCAAGAATTTTGAGCCTTTTTTTTTTTTTTTTTTTTTTTTTATTGTGAAGTTGTGGGGTACAGTTAAGGGTTAGGTATACAATTGCGTTTTTTTGTTTGTTTGTTTGTTTTTAAAGCAGTATTTATTGAAAGGATAGAGAAACTCTTACACTGGGTGGGAGGGGACTTGAGGGGCTTGCCCACGATGTAGTCTTTTATTATTATGGTGTTCGAATACTGTAGGAGCTTGGTTATAGCAAAACCAAATAATATTTTAGTACTTTAGTTTAGAAACTTTTGGATGTTTTTAGTATTACGTAACAGCCTTTGAGCCGTTTTTTTGGGGTTTTTTTTATTGTGAAGTTGTGGGGTACAGTTAAGGGTTAGGTATACAGTTGCGTTTCATTCAGGCACCCTGTTGATATGGGGTGTTTCCCCGTTCCCAGACAGATATTTGCTAATGTTAATCCCATCTCCTTGCATATTTGGATTTTAGCCTGTCTTTTCAAAGACAATCATGACCACAACCTAGGGAGGCCATCACAGGAACTGTGTTCCCCCCTCCCCTTTCCAGAGAGCTCTCTACCTTTCTTCCCTGCCCCATCAGTGCTGAGGATGACTGACAATGCATTGACTTAATACCTGTGGTGGTTCCAGAAAGACTTTGATGCCATCATCTCTTTTAATCCTCACAGTGCCCCCATTTGACTCATGAGAAAAATGGGAGGCTTCAGGGGATTTGGAATAGTCCTCGGGTCACACAGCTGGTGACCCTGAGTCAAGCATTGGCATGACTCTAAAATGCTGCCTGTCAGGACAGAAGGAAAGGACCATCTGGTCTACCTCCTACCGCCTCCCCAAGCTATGAGAACCACCACTGAGTAATTTAGGGGTCCAGATAACCAGCACTTTGGTAAGGAACATGGGTTACTGTACCCCACAGTGATGCCCCTACTTCTGGAAATGCAATTATACAAAACTCAGTTGGGTTTTATGGCACCAAATGAAATGAGATAAGACGTAAAAAATTTTCATTAAACTATTTCAGTGCTTTATGTTCTGGGAATCTACTTTCCAGTAAGAATACTGAATATTCATAAGATAGTAATTAAGATTCTGTATTGTGCTTTTTTTTTTTTGAGTTGGAGTCTCACTCTGTCACCCAGACAGGAATGCAGTGGCACGCTCCTGGCCACCACAGCCTCAACCTGCTGGGCTCCGGCGATCCTGCTGCCTCAGCCTTCCAAGTAGCTGGAACTACAGGCGTGCACTACCACGCCCGGCTAATTTTTTTGATTTATTGTAGAAATGAGGTCTCGTCAAGTTGCCCAGGCGGGTCTCCAACCTGCGGGCTCAAGCAATTCACTCACCTCGGCCTCCCAAAGCACGGGATTACAGGCTGAGCCACCGAGCCTGGCCTATATTGTGCTTTTTAAGCCAATATTCTCTGAACTGTCAACTCACCTTATTTTGCTTGAAACAAGTGTGCATTATTTCATTCCACTTCCCGTGAGAGCAAAAGCATAAGCGGCGTCTCTCTTCACTTCCTGACAGCGCCCCATCATCTCCATCTGCTGGGGCCACCGGGACTCAAGGCTGCTGATGGCATCAGGACCTGCCCTGTATGTGGTCCGTGTGGAGCACCGGGTGTCCAGCCTGCAGCTGCTGTGTCAGCAGGCCATCGCCAGCACTCTGCGCGAGGACAAGGATGTCAGCAAGCTGACCCTGCCCCCCCGCCTCTGCTCCTACCTCTCCACCGCCTTCATCCCCACCATTAAGGTAAAGCCCTCCATTGCTCATTGCTCCTTCTTCCCCTGCCCCTACCTATACTGGCTCCCTGCTGCTTGCCAAGAGAAGGGTAGACAGGAGAGATGGGCCAGTGGGCCAGAGTAAGCACACAGGGCTCCTGTCTGCTTCTCTACCAAAGCCTGTCTCCATCTGCAGTCAGCCCAAAGATCATTGTCTGTGTCTGTGTGAGATGTGCCTCATGTCATGGCAAAGCCAGTGTTGCCAGCTTGACTCCTGTGTCACCTTGTTGATCAAAGGAGTGACCATTTATTCAGCGTTCATGTATTCCAGGTTTCACACCAAGTACTGTATAAAAATCTATCTTGTCCATTCCTGACTTCCTGGAAGATGCTGCCATTATTCCCACTTGAAAAAGCAGGGAACAAGTTTGTAGAAGTTAAGTAGCTTGCTCCATACTAATTAGGGGGACAGTCGGGATTGCACTCACTCCAGTTCTAGGGCGCTGGTCAAGTGTGGGTTCCCTCTAGCCTTGCAACCCCCATCTCTGTGTGTATTCCATCTCTGCTTCTTTTGTGTATTCCATCTCTGCTTCTGAATATCAGACCAATTTGTTGGTTACTTTTTCCTGAAACATCAGAGTTTTGGAATCTGTTGTGATTTTTTTTTTCCAAGTTGTCTTATGATATTGGTTCTATACCAGCAGTTCTCGACTCTGGAGTATTAGATTGTATTAGAAAATGCAGGTGTCCAGACCCACCCCCAGAAACTCTTGTTTAATTGTCTGGGCTGGGATCCCAGCTTAGGTATTTTTTTTAAGCCCCCAGGAGATTTCAGTGGGCCCCCACTATGCAAGTCACTGTTCTACATCATGTGGTTAGCCTCTCCCCAAGCTCCCAGTCTGTACTCTGCCTGAGCTACAGTAGTGTTTTTAGCCAGCCTGCCCTCCCTCCTGCACACATGCTCTCGCTCTTGCGCGCGCTCTCTCTCTCTTTCTCTCTCTCTCTCTCCCCCTCTCCCTCTCCCTCTCCCCCTCTCCTTCTCTCTCCCTCTCAAGTCCTAGCTCTTCCTTTTCTTCCTTCCCATGTCTTCTAGCCCCCAATTCCAGACCCCAACAACATGCGAGACTTTGTAAGCTACCCATCCGCCGGCAACGAGCGGCTGCACTGCACCATGAAGCGCACAGAGGATGACCCGGAGGTGGGTGGCCCGTGCTACACACTCTACCTGGAGTATCTGGGTGGACTTGTGCCCATCCTCAAAGGGCGGCGCATCAGCAAACTGCGGCCAGAGTTCGTCATCATGGACCCACGGACAGACAGCAAATCAGGTGAGTCCCTCGCCAGAGGAACTGGGACCTTGTTCTGATGTGGCTGTGGGATGTTATTCCTTACAACCCAGACAAAGATGATGCTTGCTTACTGCTTATGAGATGTGAGCCTGTGGTGGCTAGTGTGAAACATTCTCCAAGCAACTCATTTCCAAAATCCTATTGAAGTGAACGGTTCTCTGAATGTACTTTCTGGCAGGTTTTTAAATTTTAAAAATTTTTTTGAGATGGAGTCTCACTCTGTCACTCAGGTTATAATGCAGTGGCATGTTCACGGCCACCGCAACCTCAACATGCTGGGCTCAGGTGATCCTTCCACCTCAGTCTTCCAAGTAGCTGGAACTATAGGCATGCACCACCACACCTGCTAATTTTTTTTATTTATTGTAGAGACAAGGTCTCACCAAGTTGCCCCAGCTAGTCTTGAACCCCGTGGGCTCAGGCAGTCTTCTCACCTTGGCCACTCTAAGTGCTGGGATCACAGGTGTGAACCACTGTGCCTGGCCATCTGGTAGGTTTTTAGCAATATGCCATAGGTATCAGGTGGTTGGGGCTATGGATAGTAGAACCAGGGGAAGCAGCACAGGCCTTCTGGGAATGAGAGGTTCCTCTTGCAGTTGTCAAATGTTCAGTGAGTATCTTAATGTGATACTATTGAAACAATTTGAAAATAATAATGAGATCAGTCCCTGCCCTCCCAGAGTGGCTGATACGATTAAAATCTTCAAATCTTCAGCCTACTCTTCAGACTCCTGTCCCTCACTAATCTGCTATTAACTGCTTTTTAGCTGACTATTAGTGAATTTTTTTTGCTTGTCCATAAAGATTTTGACATGATGAATCACCCATCCTTCTGAAAGCTCTCTCTTGTGCTGATTTTCACTGCTTAGTTAATGTGTTCAAGATGCTCACTACACACCTCTCTGGGATTCCAGATTGTGAGACTCTAGAGGGAAGGAACTTTGTTCTTTTTTTGTACCACTTGGTGTTTACCCAGTATCTGTGAACCCATAAGTCCTTGCCAGCCCAAACATTCTGCACCTCCCTGTGACGACTTCCCTGTCACCTCCTACAGAGTGAATAGCACACAGAGCCATTGTGCTCCAGACTCCACCTGCCCAGCTGAATCCTGAGGGCCTGGGGGTGAGAACCAGGTGGTCTTTGTGCCCCAGTCCCTGGCAAGTGCTGACCTTTAGGCAGCATGGGTGCAATTGGGTTTGTTTTCATTAGTTCATACTTGCTCCCTCCACTTCCTTGCTCCATATACCCTCCCGCCCATTAGACCAACTTCGGCCCCTCAGCACGACCCTCAGGCCGCATGACGCAGCGTGACTGGTCATCGCAGTCCACAGTGCAGTGGGCTTGCTGGCCCTCGACCTATTCACCCACCCAGTGTTGAGCTTGGTTGCCTACCTCCACCTGCTGTTCTTTATTCGCTCAGCATCCACACACTGCTTTGCCAGTGCTCAGCATCCACACACTGATTTGCCAGTTAGAAATCAGAAACAGGAACACAGTCCTTCTCAAAATTAGATATTAGTCAGCTTTTTCTACCTTTTGACTTCATGTGACGAACTAGTACCAAGAGCAGAGAAAACAAGTAGAAAATTGGGGCCTGGTGGGGAGGGAAGGGATGATCCAGAAGAAGGGAAGGTGCCAGGAGAAAAGTAGAGAGAGGTGGATGTTAGCATAAGAGGAAAACATTCTTCAGGGGAAAGGAGAAGAAAAGAGCCCTCAGTGGTTAGAGACAGTCTGGGGCGGAGGCTGTGGGACAGGCCCTGAGGCTGAGCCCGCAGCACTGCTGATGACAGTATCTCTAAGGTTCCTCCCCGGATGTGATTGCATACAGTCTACACTGAGATTAGATGTTAAAGGTAACAGGTGAAGAGCTGGTTCATCTCCCAATGCATGCTTTATGTTCCCCACTGAGGAAGAGGGCAGGAGGGCGTGCTGCAGGGTCCCAAGCCGCAGCCTCCCAAGGACCGGGCTTGCCTAAGCCTCACCTGACCACCCAAATGCCTGTTTTCCTTCATATTCATGTTGATCAGCTCATATCAAACACAGACTGCCTCAGCTGCTAACAGTCCTTTGGGGAATGAGATCTTTTATTTGTATAATTAAAATAATTAAAAGCTGTAAAGTAAAGCACATTTAATCAGTGCCTGTGATGTGTGGGGCACTTGAGTCCCTGTGATTGTTAAGCAATATCAAGGTTTCCAGGAGTTTCTAGACCCTTTCAGGTGATTAGGCAAGTTAAGCACTTGAAAAATTCAATTAAAAAGTTAAGATTTAAATTTTTCATGACAAAAATAGAAGATATGTCACAAGGCAAAATGTGACTAGTTGCCCCCCGAATGGTATAAAACTGTTTCAGAGGAGGAAGAGACTTTGAGAAGTCAGGAATTTCTCATCGTGAAAAGCTGATTCACTCTTTCAAGCTGCCATATCATTGTTTCTCCAAATGTGGTCTATGGGCCATCTCCATGCAAATCATCTGGGATGCTTATTTATAATAAATACTGGTTCCTAGCCTCACCCTTCAGATTGTGATCCATTAGGGTTGGGGTGGAACCTAGAAACATGTGATTTTGTGGGCTCCCCAGGTGATTTTCACGTTATACCCAAGTTTGCAATTCACCGCTACAAATGTTCGAGTGACTTGACAAATGTATTTCTCAAAATTACCAGTGTGTATTTTTATACTAGACAGCATGAGTCGCTGTAATTTATTTTTAAGTGAAAAGCCACAAATTTCCTTTTTTCTTTCTAGAGACAGGATCTCACTCTGTCACCTAGGCTGGAGTGTAGTGGCACAGTCATAGCTCGCTCACTGCATCCTCCAACTTTTGGGCTCAAGCAATCTGTCTGCCTCAGCCTCCTGAGTAGCTAGCTAGCTATAGGCATACAACCACCACATTTGGCTAACTTTTTTACTTTTTGTAGTGACAGTGTTTGGCCATGTTGCCCAGGCTGGTCTCAAACTCCTGGCCTCAAATGATCCTCCCACCTCAGCCTCTCAAAAGTTTTGGTATTACAGGCATGAGCCACTGCACCTAGCCTGAAATTTTTAGTAGGAGCTTGCTATGGACTGAACTGTGACTTCCCCAGAATCCATATGTTGAAGTCCTAATCCCCAAAGTGACAGTTTTTGGAGATAGGGCTTTTAGGGAAGATTCAGGTTAAATAAAACTATTAAGGGTGAAGTTCTAATCTGATGGCGTTGCTAGCCAACCAGAAGGTGGCTGCTGCAGGCCAGGAAGAGAGCCCTCACCAGGAAACAACCATATTGACACCCTAATTTTGAGCCTTCTCACTCTTCATAAACATGCGCGCGTGCACACACACACACACACACACACACACACTGTATTGGTTTTGTTTCTCTGGAGAACACTGACTAATCAGATTTTGCTACTGAGAAGTGGGTGCTCCTATAACAAATAACATGTGGAAGAAGCTTTGGAACTGGGTAATGGGTAGTGACCGGAAGAGTTTTTGAGGTGCATGTTAGAAATTTGGATGTTAAGGGCATTTCTGTTGAGGTTGCAGTCAGAAATGAGGAACATGTTACTGGAATCTGGAGGAAGCACGATCCTTGTTATAAAGTGGCAAAGAATTTGGCTTGAACTGCTGGTGTTTTGTGGAAAGTAGAATTTACAAGCAATTTCATTGGCCATCTGAGATATCTAAGCAAAGTGTTGAAGGAGCAGCTTGGTTCCTTATGACTGCTTATAGTAAAATGTGGAAGGAGAGGTGAATTGAGGAAGGAATTGTTAAGTTAAAAGGGTCTAGAACTTGAAGAGTTAGACCATTTTCAGGCTACTCATATTGCAAAAAATGAGAAAGTACATTCTGAAGAGAACACCAAGGGGTGTCTGGACTGTCATGTATTAAAGAACTGTGAGATTATAGAAGTAGAAACACTGCCAGTTTGAACCTAAGTGGATAGAAACAAGGTGAAGTGAAAGAAAGCTGTTGCACTTGGATTTGCCAGGGTGGGGTGATAGAGCCATTTGGTCCCTAGCATGCACTATTCTTCAAGAGAAGGGAAAAGTGACCCTAAAGGTGATTCAAACATCATCAGGGCCATCTCCTCGGTTTCAACAGACCTTCAACTCAGAAGAAATGAGCAGAGTCTTGAAAACTGACAAAATTGGAATGTGAAGGTTCTCAAGGACCAATCTTAGCTTACATTTTTCTACAACTTGGATACTTGTTCCAGAGTTTCCATGATAAATTGATGACATGGAGTCTCTAGTAGCATGAAGTATACCCAACCACCACCCTGTGCTCCCCAAATATCAACCTAATGTCATGCACTGAATTTCTAGTTGTGCTGATGACAAGCAACAGAGTGACAGTGCCTATACATGTGGAGGTGTGACACTGAACAAACAAGACTCAGGGCATATTTTCAGAAAACAACATTCTTTTTCTCATGCTATCTCTTAAATCTCATTTATTCTTTTAGGAAGTATTTATGAAGTCCCAGAGATTATTCTAATCCAGGCCCAACTTTCCTTCCCGTGTGGAGTTTGTATTAGTTGGAGAGACAGATGATAAAATAGTTATACATCAGTAAGGGTACCTGATCGCAAACCAAACAAAGTGGAAACCAAAGGGAAACCCAAACTTGACCTGTATGATGTCCACTTATGTACCTAATTCTGAATTGTACCCCACATCTTTAAAATGTTTTTTAAAATAAATAAATAAATAGTAGAGATTTTGTTGCTAAAAAATAGTAGTTATGAGTAAAGGGAAACAAGGAAGTGATGGGGCATAACATTTGAGGAACCTTGGCATTGATGAGTGAGTCAGGAGCTGGGTGGGTGATTCCTAATTGGATTTCCTCAGGTTGGGTCATGCATACATGGACGTTTTCTGTGGGCTTATATATATGTGTGTTGAATCACAGTTAGACATCCTCTGACCCAGTGACTCGTAAATTAAATCATAGAAAGCACTGCTCAGGGCATGTGAATTATGCCTTCTTTACCTGATTGAACTCAAACACATACTATTGTACTTGGTGGACCCTGACCCGTGCCTCTGATTCAGTAACTAAGAAAGGTCTGATGCGGGTGACACAAAGGACACCAGCCTCCTTTGCATGTAGCCTGCCCTGCTGCTCCACCTCAGAGAGGCTCTGAAACTTCAAGATTGGTTTGGACTTAAAAACTCATTCTTTAAAGTGTAAGCAGCCCTTCTGAACAGTAAAATCACCCATAATCTGTAAATTATTTCATTGTGATTGAATGATTCAGCTTTTTTATTACCTGGCAAGGCTCTTGGGGCCTTGAAGGAATGATGTTTTAGTTAGTAAAACAAAGTAATTTGGAAAAATGGGGTACTCGCATTGAGGGCAGACTTAGAGCAGGGGCTGGGGTGTTTGGGTCATGAAGAGGTGTGGTGGGGTGGGGTGGGTGGGGTGGTAAGGAGGAGCAGCTAGGGAGAAGAAATTCCAAGGAGGATGAGCGTTGTCTGTTCTGCAATCTTAGAGTTGCCCCACTGTCTGTATGCCGTCTGGTCTTCTGCTTTGGAACCTCTAATCTTCTGCCTGATGACCAGTTGGCAAAGTTGTCCTGAGTGGCTCTCATACAGGATACCCTCAGAAGAACCTAGAGAAAGTTCCTATTGCACAGGTCTCCTTCAGCCATTGCTCCAGGCAGGCAGGCAGCTCCACCAAGCGGAATAGCCAAGCCCTCACCACCAGCCAGCCCTGTGGGAATAGCGCAATGCTGGGAGACCTTGAAATAGACCAAGCTCTGTCAGAACTCTAGCCCAAACCGACCCGGCACAAGCAAGGGACTTCCCAGATCAGGAGCAGGTTTATTGGGGAAGTCAGAGAGTCAGCAGCCCTTCGCTCAGTCTGGGTTCCAGGCCACCTGAAAGTCTGTATGTCGTGAGGCACAACAGCATAACCATTTGGGTTTCAGCTTTTGGCAGACAGTGTCAGACTATTTTGAACATCCCTAGAGGCATTATAATACCATGCCCATTTTGACAACAGTAGAGGTAATTGCCTACTTCTGCTTAGAAAATACAATGGCACAAAAATGTAAAAGAAAAAACAGTGCTAAGCTGCTTTCTGTTGCAACCTCTAGGTTTGAAAAGACAGCCTCTAGAGTCAGTCCATCTTTTAGTTTATATAATGATCATCATTAGGGGCTAATTGACATAACTTCCCTTAAATTTGCTGGTTGGTCTCTTTCCAGATGAAATCTATGGGAACAGTCTGATTTCTTCTGTGATCGACAGCTGCAACTGCTCAGACTCCAGTGACATTGAGCTGAGTGATGACTGGGCTGCCAAGAAATCTCCCAAAATCTCCAGAGCTAGCAAATCACCCAAGCTCCCAAGGTAATTTCTGTCTTTGGGGGTGTTTGCCCTTTTTTGTGTTTCTGAACATGTTTGTGTGCCCACAACAGTATCCCATTGATGCTGACGCCAGAATAGTACAGCAAGAGCAACATCCTTACCCTTCTGGAAGATTCTGCCTGCAATAATTACAGCTTTTCTTTGTTTTTTCCTTTTTGAGATAGACACTCATTAGGAAGTTTCCTGAGCTTTCTCTAGAGGTTAGCAGTGATGGTGGGTAGCATAAGGGTAGCCATAACTTCTTGGCTTACTTGTTTTTTCTTCTAGTTTGAGAAAAGGGGGAAAAAAGGGTTTACAGTGGATGTAATGTGTTAAAGAGATTGTCAAATTAAATGCCTATAGTGCTGTCATTAGGAAACTAATAGTCAATTTTTAAAAATACATCCTAAGAGTTTGTCCTAAAGGCAGAAAACTAAGAACACATTGAAGGGCTTGTGGTTGGTAAATGAGACCACCACCTTCTTCCACTGTGGGACCTTGGACAGAGAGGAGTTTCCTTATCTGTAGATGTCAGTGGATAGACCACTGACATGATTCACTAAGGTCTCTTCTAATTTTAATTCCGTAGTAGTTTGTTTTTTCTGATGCCCTGCAAAATTAAGGTATACGTTACATATGGATACACACATGCCCAAATCTTCAACACCTAGCTCATCGTGCAGGTCCTGTGCCAGTGTGTCCCCACCTAGTTCAAGATAATGAGTGTGTATCATCCCAGAAAGTCCCCTTGTGCTCCTTCCATTTGCTATCACTCTCTAAAAATTAATCACTATTCTGACTTCTGCTCTCAGGTTAGTTTTACTTATTCTTGAGCTCCATATAAATGGAGTCAAACAAACTCTTTGTATCTGACTTTTTTTTCTCAACATAATGATTTTGAGATTCATCCATGTTGTGTGTAACAGTAGTTTGTTTTTCTTTATTGCTCCATGATATTCCATTGTAATGAATATACTGTAATTTGTTTACTCTGTTTGCCAGTCAGTGGATATTTGATAGTTTCCAGTCTGGGGCCATTATTCATAAATCCATTATAAGCTTTCTTTTTTTTTTGAGTTGAAGTCTCTGTCGCCCAAGCTGGAGTGCAGTAGCATACTCACGGTCACCCCAGCATCGACCTGCTGAGGGCCAGCTATCCTTCTACCTCAGCCTTCCAAGTAGCTGGAACTACAGGCGCGTGCTACCATGTCCAGCGAATTTTTTTTATTTATTGTAGAGACGAGGTCTCACCAAGTTGCCTGGGCTGGTATCGAATCCATAGGCTCAGGCAATCCTCTCGCTTCAGCCTCCCAAAGTGCTGGGATTATTACAGGCTGACCCACCGAACCCAGGCCATAAGCCTTCTTATAGAAGTCTTTTTGTGAATATGTGCACTCATTTCTCTTCGGTATACACTTCCAAAGGGAGTTTCAGGGTCATGGGTTAGATAGTAAACTTTGATAGATGCTGCCAGGCATATTCCAAGGTGGCTGTCCCAGTTTAAATTCCCACCAGCAGTTTCCACAAGAGTTCCCACTGTGTCCATTCTCATCTACAGCTGTCCTGTTATTCTTTAAAAATAATTGTACCCATTCTGGTAGCTATGTAGCGGTATCTCATTTTACTTTAATTTTAAAATCCTCAGTGATTGATGATGCTTAATACCTCTCTATATGTTTGTTGGCCATTTGGCTATCTTCTTTTGTGAAGCACACAAGTCTTTGGCCCATTTTGTATTGGGCTGTTTTTCTTACTGAGTTAGAAGAATTCATTCTTTGTGTTCTAGATTTGAGTACTTTGACAGCTATATGTTTTGCCATATAGTGCAATTTGTGAAATTCTTCTTTTTTGGCTCATGCTTTCTGTATCCTGTTTAGGAAATCTTTTTCTGCCCTAAGGCCACAAAGATGTTCTTCAGTTCTCTTCCAGCAGCTTTAGAGTTTTAGCTTTTTTTTTTTTTTATGAGTTGGAGTCTCACTCTGTCACCCAGACTGGAGTGCAGTGGCTGCTCCCGGCCACTGCAGCCTCAACCTGCAGCCTCGACCTGCTGGGCTCCGGCGATCCTTCCGCCTCAGCCTTCCAAGTAGCTGAAACTACAGGCGTGCGCTACCACGCCCGGCTAATTTTTAAAATTTATTGTAGAGATGAGGTCTCGCCAAGTTGCCCAGGCGGGTCTCGAACCCGTGGGCTCAGGCAATTCACTCACCTCAGCCTCCCAAGGTGCGGGATTACAGGCTGAGCCACTGAGCCCGCCCCAAGTTTTAGCTTTTAAACTTATATCTGGATGTAAAGAGTAACTTTACATCCAGATTAATTTTTGTATTTGGTATGAATTAGGGGTAAATGATTCATTTTTATATGTAAATATTCAATTGTTCCAACAATCTGATCAATTTATTTTTATTATTTATTCTAATGCTTGTTAAAACTGCACACAAAATTATAAACTATCCTATACTTCACAGTGTTTTGGCTTTTTCCATTACTTAAACAGAGGACATTTAATATATACAAGTAAATCCTTAGCCTATAAAAGTCCTTATAAGGTTGCTGTGCTTCTGTGGCTGGTCCTTCTTCCCCCTATCCTTTCCTCACTTGAAACCTCTCTACACAGCAGCCAGGCTAATTGTCCTAGCTCATGGCTTTAATCTACTCCCATTCCTCAGGAACCTGAAATTTCTTATCAGGTTCACAAGCTGAATGCATTTTTTTTCATAGAATGATGTAAAACTTACCATATTCATTTGTATAATTCTCTTTGGGATAGGCTGGCACTGAACACATGTATCTCCATTTTATAAATAAAGAGACTAAGGAGCAGAGCTATATCATGGGATCAAAAGGCAGCCAAAAAACTTTAGATTCAGATTTGCTTTAAATATTACAGGTAATGAAATGCTAGACAAATCAAAATTTAAACTGTCATAAAATAAATTATAAAACTAATTGTGGCCTTAGGGTGATAAATGACTCTTCCCGCCTGCCATTTTCCAAGGACTGATTGTGCAAACACCTGGCAGAAGGCCATTTCCAAATTTACTCTAAGTCAGCAGAGAGCAAAAGACGGTTAATTCTTTGAACTTCCTTACAAATGAATCACTTGATCTCATCTCTCTATATATACATGTTTTTGAGGTGAGGTCTTGCTGTGCTGCCCTGGCTAGCCTTGAATTCTGGTGCTCAAGCAATCCTTCTGCCTCGGTCTCCTGAGTAGCTGGGACTACAGATGCATGCCCCCACACCCAGGTTCTCAAAAACTTAAATGTATATTATTCAGCATATAACTGTCCTTCTTTCCTAATGTTCATAAAGCAAAAGCAGGGGAGAGTGTTGTTAAATTAGAGCACTGGCCACTGAGGACCTGACCTCAGCTGCCGGGTTAGAAAGGGAAGAGGAGTGCGGAGTCAGGGTAGTGCTTGCCTTGCCCACCACAGGAGCCTGACCCTCCTGGCCTTGCCTCCCCAGGATCAGCATTGAGGCCCGCAAGTCTCCCAAGCTGCCCCGGGCTGCTCAGGAGCCCTCGCGGTCTCCCCGGCTGCCCCTGCGCAAGCCTTCGGTCGGCTCGCCCAGCCTGGCCCGGAGAGAGTTTCCTTTTGAAGATATCACTCAGGTAGGAGCACACAGCTGCCACACCACTCTCCCCTTCTCACTAGTGGCTATGCCTGGGGGCCCTTCTCCTTCCCTGTCTGCCCACCACTGCCTGGGCTCTGCTTCATATTCCACAGGCTGCCCTGCTGCCACAGAAACTGTCCTCAGGTGGCGTTCTGGCAGAAATGTGTCCACATTTCGCCTGTGCACCCCCCGCCCAGTCAGTCTTGATCCCACAGTGGGTATGGGAGAAAACGCTTTCACCCCTGTCACAGCCCCCACAGTCTGGCCCTGCCAGACTTTCCCTCACGGCCCTTCCAAAACTTCCTCCCCCTCCAGGTGCTGTAGCCACACCTACCACAACCCTGCCCTGCACCCTGCTCTGCCTGGGTCACCTGTTCTATCTTCTCGTTCTTGTTTCTGTCCCCATCCCTCCCTGTGGAGCTCCAGCACCATCTCTGCCAGGAGGGCTTCCTGCCAGGGCTCAGCCAAAACATCTGGTATATAATTCCCCCATCACATTTCTTGGTGGCTTCTTTGTATACAAATCTTTATAAACCTGTCTCCTCCATTAATTATAAGCTTCTTGAGGAGCTATATTTTGTCCATCTTTATTTTTCCCTTGCACATGCACACACACACTCATTAAAAATTTAATTGAATGAGTAGACAGATAACTGGGTAGTTTCAGAACATAATGGTATCAATGCAACTGATGTTTCCAGGAGAAAGACTGAGAATAAAAATGAATTTAGAGTTAGGTACCCTTTTTAGTTCAGTGATGGGGGAGGAGAGCTGAAGAAAATGTATTCAAATTACTTTGGTGGCCTCTTGAAACCACACATGTGGACACACTCAAACACGCCCCACCCCCTTGCTCAGCTTAGTGTACCCCCATTCAAAATTGGGTGTCTGACATGCTCTAGTGAACTTCTGATCTTGCAAATAGTAAAATGAGTCAGGTAATGGATGTTTCTGGCAGTACACACTTGTGACTTTTTAAGCAATAAGTGCTAGCATTCTTACTGAGTGACCAGTAGAAAGTATGGAACTAGGTTGTGATTCTTCCTTTTTCTTTTTTTCCCCCATAGCACAACTACCTTGCTCAGGTCACGTCTAATATTTGGGGAACCAAATTTAAGATTGTGGGCTTGGCTGCTTTCCTGCCAACCAACCTCGGTGCAGGTAAGAACCACATACTTTCCTCTCACTGTCCCAGTTGGAACAGACTACAAAGTCCAATTTCAACCTCAGTGACCTAACATAGATGAGGAGCTTTTAAGACAGCCAAGAACTGATTGTGTTACCTCCAAACTTTGACTCTAGCCGCTGTATGGCTTCACAAAAATTAGAATATCACTCAAAAGAAACTCCTTCTGAAGAATTGGAGAGGAAAACATTAAGACTGTAAGAAGCTGGTTGACTGTTAGTTCAGTTCTTAGTGGTAAATATTTATAAATTTTATTTCTCAGTACCAGATAAATAGCTTGTCTTTGACAAGTTTGAAACATAGAGGTAAGCTTAGCCAAGGGAGTGCAAAGCTGGGCCAGAATTCAGAAATTGCATTCTGACTTGTACTCCTACCCACATGAGTAGTGATTTCCTCAGAGATGATGAGAAAATGAAACTACAAAAAGATCCTTTTCAAAGTGACTTCCTCTACTGGGTCGATCCCCTTCTGGTTGAGGAGCCATGTTGCTCCCCTGCCTTCCTAGGTTGCCTCATCGGATTACTCTGTACACGTCTCTCTGCAAGGCCACCTCAGCTAGGTGGGGCCATGGCCTCTATCTCGAATGTACTCTTTGTAGCCTGCTCAAAATGGTTTGTGAAAAAATCCAGATCTACCTATAAGAGTTTCATTCACAGATTCTTTCAAATAAATTATTCTTGCAAATCAGATGTTAAAAAGACCTGTTGCTATGTATGCATCTTTAGAGATTCATTAAGTAGTGTTGCATTTGAAGTTTCTCAGCTCAGAGAAAAAGAGGTATAAAAGTAAAACATAAAACTATTTTAGGAAAGAACAATAGACCATCGCTATGCATCGTACAAAGAAAGCTCTTATATTTTCAGCAACCTGGAACCTCTCTGATGACCACAAAAGCCTGTTGTTCAGTTATTTATCAGTGCCCTATCGGTGGATGTGGTTGATTTTCAATAACCATTCTTTGAATATCATGATTATTCTCACATCAGTAAGCTGAGAACTTAGCCATCTGCCTAAAGTAAATATTGAAAAAGAGAGTAGAAGTGAGAATTTACTTGACGGATCCTTTCCTTCTGCCCTTATTTCTTGGATGTTGAGTAGATCCACACATAAGCCAATCAAGACCTTAAAATGAGGGCGCGCGTGAGAGCCTGTTAGGCACACACTGCCCCAGCATGAGCAGATCAAATGCCTGCAACAAAAGCTTTTTGTAGGACAGCAGTGGAATTGTTCTAATCATTGATCTTTTGAAAAAGAGCCTTTTGGTTCATAGTTACTCTTGTCAGGCCAAAAGAAAATTTCCATTTGATTCTACTAGAGAAAAGAAAGTAAGTCTTAGATTCTAGAAGGTGTGATACATGTAGGGCTCTATTACACAGTCTTTTCAAAGACAGTGTATGACACTCTAGTGGAAATAAAAAGTAAGTGCTGTTCCCCATGTTGGGCAGTTTGTTTCCTTTAATTAGAATGGTCTGACCCGTGAAATGTTTTATTTTTAACTTTTGGTATTTCTTAATTTTAAAAATACATAATAGATTCAAAATTCAAAAGATTTAGGGAGGTCAAGTGATTGGATTGCCTAAGCCCATAGATTCAAGACCAGCCCGGGCAACTTGGCGAGAACTCACCTCTACACTAAATTGGTAGTTCCGGCTACTTGGAAGGCTGAGGCAGAAGGATTATCTGAGCCTAGCAGGTCGATGCTGGGGGTGGCTGTGAGCATGCCACTGCACTACAGCCTGAGCAACAGAGAGAGACTCCAACTCAAAAAAAAGAAAGGATTTAGAAGATTACACAGTAAACTTTCTCTTATCCTCACCACCAGGCACCTATTTTTCTTCCCTGGAAGCATCCTGGTATTATTTTTCTAACCCTTCCTGGGATTTTTAGTTTTATTGCTCTTTGCCATTCTGAAGGGCAAAGCATAGCACTTTAATGCATTAATTCTTAAGTCGTAGAGAACTTTTAAACCTAAATTCACATCGTTTTTCTATTGTGAACAAGACATATGAACGCATGAGTAAGGTCTTTCCTTAGCATATTGGGTAGGAAAAGTCACCTCGGGCCACACCAGTGTACACGCCAAGCCTGCAAAGATGCTTTAACAAAGAAGGCCTCAGTGGCTCATCATGTTGCAGGGCATGTGAGTGGCAGTGTGGAGATGGAATAAGGAAGCTTGGGTCTACATGTCTCACAGGAAGGAGGTGCAGACATAAGGGAAAATTGATAGGGCAACTTCATCCTGATTTCAACTTACTGTGGAACTTAAATGCAGATTTATTATTTTGAAACTTACTTTGTCTCTAATATATTAGTTGCAACCTAGGCCTTCTCAATGCACTCAAACAAATTAAATCTTAGTGTTTAAAAAAACTACATGGAAGTCCCCTGTAAATCTCTACCCTGATCATTAGATTGAAGTTAAAAGTCAGTAAAGTAAGACTCCAACCCTGAATGAAGCAGCATTTTATTACTGCATGATATCATGACACCCCCCATCTCCAAGTGGTTTTCAAGCAGCTTCTTGATTGCCAAGATTCCCACAAGCTTGGCACTCTGGTTGTCACAACTGTTTCTACTAAATTATCCTTCTGATTGCAAGTGAAATTTTTGAAATACATATTTTTCATACCCTAGTTTATTCTAATAAAAAAATTTAAGTCTAAGATACGTTTTTAATATTTCAAATTTGTAGTTCTGGCCGGGCTCAGTGACTCAGCCTGTAATCCCAGCACTTTGGGAGACTGAGGCAAGTAGATTACCTGAGCCTGCGGGTTCGAGACCAGCCCAGGCAACTTGGCGAGACCTCATCTCTACAACAAATAAAAAATTAGCGGGGCATGGTAGCACGTGCCTGTTCCAGCTACTTGCATGGCTGAGGTAGAAGGATTGCCGGCACCCAGCAGGTCAGTGCTAGGGTGGCCATGAGTGTGCCACAGCTTTCCAATCTGGGTGACAGAGTGAGACTCCAACTCAAAACACAAAAACAACCAAATTTGTAGTTCTATAGACAAGCCATTGGCAGAGAGGCTGAACTAGGCCAGGAATTTGCTGTCACCGAATCTATAACCATGGTTGGTGTGGCCATGTTGAGTGCCAGAGAGAGGTAAAGCACTCACTCAGACTCTCAGTTCTGCCTACACAGATCTGTTTTCTACTGGTAGAAAGACCACAGCCCTCTATTTATCTTCCCATGAGCTATTGACAGTCCAGCTGTCCTCTGGTGTGTCTCTGTTAACTGTGCCCTTCTCCCTCCCTACCAGTAATCTATAAAACCAGCCTCCTGCACCTCCAGCCACGACAGATGACCATCTATCTCCCAGAGGTTCGGAAAATCTCCATGGACTATATTAATTTACCTGTCTTCAACCCTAATGTTTTCAGTGAAGATGAAGATGATTTACCAGGTGTGTTCACATATATCGACTTGTTTGTCATGTTCCCTCTCTCTGCGGATCATGCAAGGGGTACAGAGTAGTGAGTTATTGAGGATGACAGCCTGCTACCTGGGTCTGGAAAAAGTATACCTGCTTCTGTAAGGTTAGTAGATGTGGTGGCATATCCCAGGACAAAGGTCACAGATTGGCACCAGTTTGGGGAAGAGAGAAGCTGCCAGAGCATGGATGGCTGAGATGGCAGTGATGCCTCATGTTCCTCAAGCACTTCTAACATCTCATTTTGTCCTCACAGTAGCCCTCTTAGTCATGTACCTCAATAAAGATAAGTTAGCGGGATGGGTCAGGACTGACTGAAATCAGAGCTGCAGCCCAGTCTCGTGGGTCTACCTAGCCTTCATCCTTTCAGTCCCTGCTTAGTGAGTGCCTCACTCAGTGTTCCTGGGGTGCCCCGGCTCCAGGACGCAAGGCCTTGGCATGTGAACACCTCTCTCCCACTGTGTAGTGCATGTCTCAGTGTGCAGAGGTCTGACCTGAGTCAAAGGTAAAATCTGGTACATGGTTTTTAAATTCCAGTTTACAAATGGTAAATATCTGCATCTATAGCATCTTACGTTAATGTAAGCACTTCCCGTTGTGGGGGAGGGGTCCTTAAAGGATCCCATTTTGATGAATAGAATAAAATGATTTCTAATTAGTCTGCCAATTAGTTACATGTAACTATTCTCAGTTACTTGAGGGTTATTCACTTTTTAAGTAAAAGTTCACAGTGATTTCATAGACACAGACTCCTCTAATTATAACCAAGCAAGGCTCTGGAAGTCCCTGATTTCTGAACCAGAGGAACCCCAATGTAGGCCATGACTTCTCCAGTGTCTGGACATCCATGCCCAACAGGGTTGGTCCTAGCAGGGAGACATGGAGGGACACACATTCCTGCTTGGGCCTGCTTTTCACTTGGGCCCTGAACTTGGGGAAGTTGTTCACCTTCTCTCAGCCAGGCTTTTTACCTGAAAACTGATTTCTAATGTGCTTTCTGACGTGGCCATCTTGGTGCTCTGATGGTATTCATCTCCCACATAGATGGAGCAAATGTTCTAGACTAATGCAGTCCTAGTAGGCAAGGTTTGCGGCCGCCACATCATTACCCACATACCTGAGCTTCCTAGAAGATCCCCTGCTATTTCAGAGTCTTGGATTTAGGAATGTATCTTATACTTTCTCCATAAAAATGCCCTCACTGCTCTCCCAAAATGCAGCTAATAGCACTCGTTCCAGTCAGTGTTCAGCTGTTGCTGCTGTTGCCATTCCTGTCTGTGGTTCCTGGTGAGAAAGGGATCATGTTGTCTCAGGGCTTGCATTTAATGATGGCAACTCAACAAAGAGACTCTTCTCCTTTAAAGGGGAAGATGCCTGAGTCAATATTCCATACAGATGAGAGAACATCTGGAAGAGGAATCTGAACAAGAATAACAGGAAACTTGACACAGACCCATATTTGTGCAGCCAGGGGGTAGTTATGTCTCACCAGAGGACCCCAGGGAAGGTAGGGAGGGTTTGCTTAGCTTAATCAAGGGTGGGCTTAGCATTGGCGAAATGCACTGGCTTCATGTAATTCTGGTGAAAGTGAACCAACCTTTGCAAATAGCTAAGTCATATTTCCTGACCATGTACTGGTTAGTTAGCACCATGCCTCAGACTTCTGCATTGGTGGCAGTTTTCTCTGAGGAATGTGCCACAGAGTGGTCTAATAGACCTAGTAAGCCAAGTTGCCAGGTGGCTCAGCAGGCACTTTAAACAGGGGAGTGCAGGCGATAGCTCTCAGCACCTGTCTATAGGTCACAGTTCGAGTGTGTACACTATTAAACTCCCACTGTGCACACATAGAATGTATTTACAGGGATTTATTCAATGGGGCTCTACCTTACATATTGTTTGAAATGCCAAAAACTGATGAATTAGGAAGTGCTCCTTCATGTGATACTTAGATTCACTAGATTCTTTTCATTAGTTTCTCTACTACATGTTACATTGTTATTTTTATAGAAACTTAATTTACATGCAGATTCATACACACATCTGTTGTATGACATATCCCACACTAGCCAGCCCACAATAAACCTACTCAGAGGCCAAGGCATGATGAATGCTCAATGAAGTTTCCTCCTGTGCCATTGCCTTCTTCCTACAGAAAAGAATGGGCATTCTATGAATGTCATCTTTAAAAAGCTTCTTTAAATGTTTTGTTGTTTGTGATGATGCCATTGAGGTGCTTGGTGCCACAATCAGAAGGTTCTGAAGCTAGTTCGTTGGAAGGCTCTGACAGCGCCCTGCTGGCTACCTGCAGGGCCCAGCACGCTTGTGTGAACAGTCCAGTGTTCCCCAGGCAGACACACCTCAGTCCCTAGCACATGTACTTTGTGTGTAGAAGAGGACCAAATGAGTGCAGGTTCTGCAAGCAGTTTCTTTTTCTAATTTCCTTCTAGTGACAGGAGCATCTGGCGTCCCTGAGAACAACCCACCTTGCACTGTGAATATCCCTATTGCACCGATCCACAGCTCTGCTCAAGCTATGTCCCCTACACAGAGCATAGGGCTAGTGCAGTCCCTACTGGCCAATCAGAACGTGCAGCTGGATGTCTTGACCAACCAGACGACAGCCGTAGGGGCAGCAGAGCATGCAGGTGACAATGCCACCCCTTACCCAGTCTCCAACCGGTACTCCAATCCTGGACAGGTGATTTTTGGAGGTGTGGAAATGGGTCGCATCATTCAGAACCCCCCTCAGCTGTCCCTGCCGCCGCCACCACAGGGACCCATGCAGCTGTCCACGTTGGGCCATGGAGACCGAGACCATGAGCTCCTGCAGAAGCCAACCAAGGCCCTGCGACCAGCGCCACAGCTGGCAGCTGAGGGGGATGCAGTGGTCTTCAGTGCCCCCCAGGAGGTCCAGGTAACAAAGATGAACCCTCCACCCCCGTACCCAGGAACCATCCCCGCCGCGCCCACCACAGCAGCACCCCCGCCCCCTCTGCCGCCACCGCAGCCCCCAGTGGATGTGTGCCTGAAGAAGGGCGACTTTTCTCTCTACCCCACACCGGCGCACTTCCAGACGCCCCTGGGCTACGAGCGGATCACCACCTTTGACAGCAGCGGCAATGTGGAGGAGGTGTGCCGGCCTCGTACTCGGATGTTATGTTCCCAGAACACCTACACCCTCCCCGGCCCAGGCAGTTCCGCCACCTTGAGGCTCACAGCCACTGAGAAGAAGGTGCCCCAACCCTGCACCAGTGCCACCCTGAACCGCCTGACCGTCCCTCGCTACTCCATCCCCACCGGGGACCCACCCCCGTATCCCGAAATTGCTAGCCAGCTGACGCAGGGGCGGGGCGCTTCCCAGAGACCTGACAGCATCCTCATCCATGCCACTCTGCGGAGGAACAACCGCGAGGCCGCGCTCAAGATGGCGCAGCTGGTTGACAGTCCACGAGCCCCCCTGCAGCCCCCAGCCAAGCCCAAGGGTGGGTCTGGGGGGGCAGTGGCCCAGCTACCGGCACGGCCCCCACCCACCCTGTACACCTGCAGCCAGTGCAGTGGCGCAGGGCCTGGCTCACAGCCCACAGCCCTGACCCATGCCGTCAGCACCTCCCCGCTGGCCTCCCAGTCCTCCTACAACCTCCTGAGCCCGCCTGACAGCGCCCGCGACCGCACCGACTATGTCAACTCGGCCTTTACGGAGGATGAGGCCCTGTCCCAGCACTGTCAGCTGGAGAAGCCTCTGAGGCACCCCCCACTGCCCGAAGCTGCTGTCACCATGAAACGGCCACCTCCTTATCAGTGGGACCCTGTGCTGGGTGAGGACGTTTGGGTTCCCCAGGAAAGGACAGCACAGACTGCAGTGCCCAACCCCTTAAAGCTGCCCCCTCTGATGCTAGGCCAGGGCCAGCACCTGGACGTGTCCCGAGTGCCCTTTATCTCCCCCAAGTCTCCCGCCAGCCCTACTGCCACTTTCCAGACAGGCTATGGGATGGGCGTGCCGTATCCAGGAAGCTACAACAACCCCCCTCTGCCCGGAGTGCAGGCTCCCTGCTCTCCCAAAGACGCCCTGTCCCCCACACCGTTTGCACAACAGGAGCCTGCCGTCGTCCTCCAGCCAGTGTACCCACCCAGCCTTTCCTACTGCACCCTGCCCCCCATGTACCCAGGAAGCAGCACGTGCTCGAGTTTACAGCTGCCACCTGTCGCCTTGCATCCATGGAGTTCCTACAGCGCCTGCCCCCCCGTGCAGAACCCCCAGACCACTCTCCCCGCCAAGCCACACTTGGTGGTGGAGAAGCCCCTTGTGTCCCCACCGCCTGCTGATCTCCAGAGCCACATGGGCACAGAGGTGATGGTCGAGACTGCAGACAACTTCCAAGAAGTCCTCTCCCTGACTGAAAGCCCGGTCCCCCAGCGGACAGAAAAATTTGGGAAGAAGAATCGGAAGCGCCTGGACAGCCGCGCGGAGGAAGGAAATGTTCAGGCCATCACTGAGGGCAAGGTGAAGAAGGAGGCAAGGGCTCTGAGTGACTTTAATTCACTTATCTCCAGCCCCCGCCTGGGTAGAGAGAAGAAGAAAGTGAAGAGTCAGAAAGACCAGCTGAAGTCCAAGAAGCTGAACAAGACGAATGAGTTCCAGGATAGCTCTGAGAGCGAGCCCGAGCTGTTCATCAGTGGGGACGAGCTAATGAACCAGAGCCAGGGCAGCAAGAAGGGCTGGAAGAGCAAGAGGACCCTGCGTACTGCCAGCGAGCTAGAGGAGTCCAAGTGCCGGCGGGCCAGCGAGAAGGAGGATGGGCGGCTGGGCAGCCAGGGCTTCGTGTACGTGATGGCCAACAAGCAGCCACTGTGGAACGAGGCCACCCAGGTGTATCAGCTGGACTTCGCGGGACGGGTAACCCAGGAGTCAGCCAAGAATTTCCAGATCGAGTTGGAGGGGCGGCAGGTGAGACCTAGGGCTGCAGGCGCTGTAGCTGTGGGGTGGGAGGTGCCAGTGCTTTGGGCTCTGAGGAGCATTTTTCAAAAGGCTAAATGGGAAATGTGGGAAACAGCCAAACACCTCTCTGATAGAGCTGACAGATTGTGAGTCAGTGACCCACTGTTATCTTCTACCCATTTTTAATCCAAATATTGCATGTACTGAGTATGTTATGTCTGACAATTCTGTGAGACCCCTGAGGAAATGGAGCAGGCCCTGCCCATCCACCTCCCAAGGTAGGTGCTCCCAATTCTCTTTTTTTCTGGTATTTGCCATCATGTTTATAAAGAACATGTTTGTACTTTGTTCCCTAACTTTTCCGACTTTGGCATCAGGTGGTGACTCTCTCCTGAAGGACGTGAGGACTGGCTTCTTCCCCTGCCCTCCCTCCCCCTACAGCCCCAGTACTCCCCTTCTCCTCTGCCCAGTTCAGTCAGCAGCCATCAGGGACCATGTTAGGCTAAAGAACGGGACTCACAGCTGAGCCATGTCTCATGGCTGAGCGACGTTTCCTTTTTTGTGTAGTGTTCTTTTTCCTAGACTATTAATTGTCTGGTTTTTGCCTGTTTGCTTATTTCTCTGCATTTATTACGGAGTCATTCCCCAATTCTGTGTTAGAACATAAGCCTCCTCCTGATGGAGCTGAGCACTGCCGGGTACCTCCTCAGTTCTTCCTGCTCCAACCATGAGTGGCTGCTCAGTCCTGCTGTCTGGCTTCCCTTCTTCACCGTCTTGCACATTCCCTTCCTTTCTCATACTTAAGTTAACATGTTTATTAATTCATTCAACAAGTATTTAAGTGCCAGCTGTGTGCTTGGCGATTCTCTAAACCAGAGGTAGGCAGGCTGGCCCATGGGCCCGTCTGGCTGGCTGCCTCTTTCTGTAAAGTTTTACTAGAACACAGCCATCTCTGTTCACCTCACTATTATTCACAGCTGCTTTGCATCCAAAAACAGCAGAGTTGGAGAGTTGTGGCGAAGACTGAGTGGGCCACAAAGCCTGAAGCACTTCTTATCAGCCTGCATAGGAAGTGAGTTGGCCCCTGCCATAGCACTAGAGTGAGGGTAGTAAGGAGGATGGAGGAAACCCTGCTGCCGTGGATCACAGAGGTCAGGGACTGGAGACAGTCAAGCACAAGCTGTGTGACGCAGGTGGCATTGTGACCTGATGGGCTATGGCCATAGGAAATGGTGGGATGACAAGGGAGCAGAGTGGGGAGGGGGTGTGTGGGGGCAGGCAGCTGGGAGCTCTTCTCCAGGGAGGGACACTGGACAGTAGCAGTACCAAGTCTCCTCTAGGGCCGCCCCTGGCCTATTGCTGCTGCTTCCTCCTTTTCTTCCACTCCCCATTCCTTGGTGAGGAAGCCACCTTGCTTGGCCTGGAGAGCTCTCCACATTCTGAATCTTGCTCATTTGCTGCCCATTGTGTTGTTTAACATGTTCCTCTGTCCCTTTTATTTATTTATTTTTCGAGTTGGAGTCTCACTCTGTCACCCAGACTGGAGTGCAGTGGTCGCTCCCAGCCACCGCAGCCTCGACCTGCTGGGCTCTGGTGATTCTCCTGCCTCAGCCTTCCAAGTAGCTGGAACTACAGGCACGTGCTACCATGCCTGGCTAATTATTTTTTATTTATTGTAGAGATGAGGTCTCACCAATTTGCCCAGGTGGGTCTTGAACCCACGGGCTCAGGCAGTCGACTCACCTCAGCCTCCCAAAGCACGGGATGTCAGGCTGAGCCACCGAGCCTGGCTCCTTTTATTTATTTTTTTTTAAGAGAGTCTCACCCTCTCACCCAGGCTGGAGTACAAGGGCACAATTGTAGCTCACTATAACCTCGAACTCTTGGGTTCAAGCAATCCTCCCACCTCATCCTCCTGAGTAGCTGGGACAATAGGTGCACGCTACCAGGCCCAACTAATTTTTTTTTATTTAATTTTTTTTTTTTTTTTTTTTTGAGTTGGAGTCTCACTCTGTCACCCAGACTGGAGTGCAGTGGCACACTCCCGGCCATCGCAACCTCGACCCGCTGGGCTCCAACGATCCTTCCGCCTGAGCCTTCAAAGTAGCTGGAACTACAGGTGTGCGCTACCATGCCCGGCTGATTTTTTTATTTATTGTGGAGATGAGGCCTCGGTAAGTTGCCCAGGCGGGTCTTGAACCCATGGGCTCAGGCAGTCCAATCACCTCAGCCTCCCAAAGCACGGGATTACAGGCTGACCCACCGAGCCCAGCACTAATTTTTTTTGAGAGACAGGGTCTTGCTATGCTGCCCAGGCTGGTCTCAAAGCCTTGGCCTCAAGTGATTCTCCTGCCTCAGCCTCCCAAAATACTGGGATTACAGGCCTGAGCTACCATGCCCAGCCTGTCCCTTGTTTCTTACAAACTTATGGTTATGTAGAAGTTTCATCGGATTCAGAGTGACATTTGTTGGCAAAAACATCTAATTGTCTGCTTCTGCCTGGAGCCGGGCCAGACCTAGTTGTCCTCTTTCCCACCTTGTTCTCCTTTCCTCCCTACCCTCCACCAGGTGATGCAGTTTGGACGGATTGATGGCAATGCCTACATTCTAGACTTCCAGTACCCCTTCTCAGCCGTGCAGGCCTTTGCAGTTGCCCTGGCCAATGTGACTCAGCGCCTCAAATGAAGAGACTGGAGTGGGGCAGAGGGAGACATGGAGGAGCCTTTCAAAGAGGCCTTTGGAGAGGCCAGAGGAGCCCACACAGGACCGGATGGATACCCAGGAGGACCAGAAGACAGCAGGAAACTGGAAATGCTGGTTGGGCCCAGGAAAGGGCACTGACCTTCCCTTGTTGTCCTTGATTTGGTCTTTATTATCCTTTATTGTCTTTCTTTTCTTCTTTCGGTGGAGTTGCATTTGGAAGCAAAAGGTGCGAGGCACCTGCTGTTCTTTCAGGAAATGTAGCGGGGCTGTGGTAACGCTCTACTGGGTTTGCTGTGTTGGTGACTGGGACGAGAGCCCTGCAGAATAAAGACAGACTGCCTTACAGCCTGCTCTCTTAGACCTAGGGAGAGTGCACAACTGTGTTCTCCATGACAGCTAGCCTTCATTACTCCTCCAACATCACCACTGGTGTAAAAATTAAAAACTGTTACAAAACACAACCAAAAATCCTGAAACTATAGGTTCCGGGGGGGTGGGAGGGCTGCATTTAATCTGCACTTTTTTTTTTTTTTTTTT